ATTCATCTGAGAGCAACATCTATTTGAAGAGCACAATAATGCATTGTACCTTACCTTAATTCTGATTACAGTCAGCTCACCACTTACTGAGATTACCTGGTGGTTTGTAAGTGCGAGAGAATAGTGCTGCGGGAGGGATTCCCCCATCCACATTTGTGGGTTGACCAGGAAAAAAAAGACTTGTATATGGTCAGCCTTAGTTTATTCAAATACTGACTCAGGCTCTCTTCACACTTTGGGTGGGTAGGGAATCGCACACTTTCCCATCACACACAATTGCACTGTCTTTTATTAGAAGCACATTGGTGCAAATAATTCTTAATGCCCCCCATTCAGTGTGGCGCAAATTTGTATTTTTTAGTTGATTTTTTAATCAGAGTTTAGTGTCACATTAAGTTTAGGTTCATTTTAAAAAAGGATTAGTAAACTTTAATTATATAAAGTTATCCTCACAAGGTTTAAATGCCTCTCTCCATGCTCCTTTTACGATCCATACAGCGTGGCTCATGACAAGGCATGCAGAAACTGCTACAAATTCTGCCTGCGCAGTATTGTTCCTGCAGCAGCATGGACAAGTATGTGTAAACTTTTTGGGGGAGAGAAAGGTAACTTAAAGGATAGCAATACTAAAATATAGATATATAGTAATTATAGTGTACAGGTGAAACTCGAAAAATTAGAATATCGTGCAAAAGTTCATTTATTTCAGTAATGCAACTTAATAGGTGAAACTAATATATGACATAGACTCATTACAAGCAAAGCAAGATAGTTCAAGCCGTGATTTGTCATATTTGTGATGATTATGGCTTATAGCTCATGAAAACCCCAAATCCACAATCTCAAAAAATTTGAATATTGTAAAAAAGGTGCAATATTCTAGGCTCAAAGTGTCCCACTCTAATCAGCTAATTAAGCCATAACACCTACAAAGGGTTCCTGAGCCTTTAAATGATCTCTGTCTGGTTCAGTAGGAATCACAAACATGGGAAAGACTGCTGACCTGACAGTTGTGCAGAAAACCATCATTGACACCCTCCATAAGGAGGGAAAGCCTCAGAAGGTAATTACAAAAGAAGTTGGATGTTCCCAAAGTGCTGTATCAAAGCACATTAATAGAAAGTTATGTGGAAGGGAAAAGTGGGGAAGAAAAAGGTGCACAAGCAGCAGAGATGACCGCAGCCTGGAGAGGATTGTCAGGAAAAGGCCATTCAAAAGTGTTGGGGACTTTCACAAGGAGTGGACTGAGGCTGGAGTCAGTGCATCAAGAGCCACCACACACAGACGGATCCTGGACATGGGCTTCAAATGTCGTATTCCTTGTCAAGCCACTCTTGAACAAACCATGTCAAAAGTGTCTTACCTGGGCTAAAGAAAAACAGACCTGGTCTGTTGCTCAGTGGTCCAAAGTCCTCTTTTCTGATGAGAGCAACTTTTGCATCTCATTTGGAAACCAAGGACCCAGAGCATGGAGGAAGAATGGAGAGGCACACACTGCAAGATGCTTGAAGTCCAGTATGAAGTTTCCACAGTCTGTGTTGATTTGGGGAGCCATGTGATCTGCTGGTGTTTGTCCACTGTACTTCATTAAGTCCAGGGTCAACGCAGCCGTCTACCAGGAGATTTTGGAGCACTTCATGCTTCCTTCTGCAGACTAGCTTTATGGGGATGCTGACTTCATTTTCCAGCAGAACTTGGCACCTGCCCACACTGCCAAAAGCACCAAAACCTGGTTCAATGACCGTGGGATTACTGTGCTTGATTGGCCAGCAAACTCGCCTGACCTGAACCCCATAGAGAATCTATGGGGCATTGCGAAGAGAAAGATGAGAGACATAAGACCGAACAATGCAGAAGAGCTGAAGGCCGCTATTGAAGCATCCTGGTCTTCCATAACACCTCAACAGTGCCACAGGCTGATTGCTTCCATGTCACGCTGCATTGAGGCAGTAATTGCTGCAAAAGGGGCCCAAACCAAGTACTGAGTACATATGCATGCTTATACTTTTCAGAGGTCTGATATTGTTCTATGTACAATCTTTGTTTTATTGATTGAATGTAATATTCTAATTTTCTGAGATTGTGGATTTGGGATTTTCATGAGCTGTAAACCATAATCATCACAATTATGACAAATCACGGCTTGAACTATCTTGCTTTGCATGTAATGAGTCTATCTCATATATTAGTTTCACCTTTTAAGTTGCATTACTGAACTAAATGAACTTTTGCACGGTATTCTAATTTTTCGAGTTTCACCTGTATATTATAAGTAGAAATACAGTTAAACACCCATGCTTAATTTTTCTGCCATGGGTAATTATTGTTATACAGGATTTATATACACCAACATTCTGCGCTGCACTATACAAAATAAAGGGAGACAGTACAGCTACAATACAATACAGGGCCCTACTCATCTGCCTTCAGCTGGGTATGAATATATATATAAAAAAATTAGAATATGACCTAATCCTGTAGCAGTACATTACGATCTAATTATAGAGTTGGAAAGTTTGCCATAGTAACATAACAAATAATTTTTCATTAAAAAAAAATTGCAAACTTGTAAAGCAGTCTTAAGACACATTTTGTGAGTACTGTCACTATGGCACAAGGCTTATATAAATCTAACTTATGACAGTGGTTGGTAGTTTTGAAAAATGGCTTAGAGCTAAAGAGCTTAGGGAATAAATGTCTTGTGAAGTTATTATTGAATAAAGATCCTTACCATCCTGAAGGGCCACAGTAACAAATATAGCATTTCCCTTTAATGGCATGTTTAGACACTGCATGCTAAGGAGCATTTGGCACCTAGCTCCTGCCATTGCTCCTGGCAGGAAAAAAGCAGCTTAAAAAAAAGTGTCTAGAGCTGCATTTTGCAAACATGCTTAGGTGTGTCCAGCGATTGGGTGTCCATTCCATTGGCCAGTATATTTATCTGGACCATTGGAAGGAATGATCAGTCATTAAATGCACCTAAATATGTTTTCAAAATGTAGCTTTAGGCACGTTTTTTTTAAGCTGCCTTTTTTCCTGCCAGGAGCTACTTGCTTTTAGATATGTCAAGCATTTTTTTTCTTCCCCAAAGCTCCCACAAAATCAAAAGGCTCCTCTCCTGAACGCTCAAGTGATGTTTATTTTCAGCGTCTAATGCTCCTCTTCTATTACACCTTTAAACACCTCTGTGTTCAGGGCTACATAGGCTAACCCAGAGATGCATTCAGAGGCTTAAAAAAGAAAAAAAAAAAGACACCAAACTCCTGTAAAAGTGCCCAGTGTGCATGAGCCCTAATACTCGGGCTGTGTTCCATCTGCATCCCAAAACACTCTTCCAGTGGCAATGGAAATAAATACATACAAATATACAGTTGCATACAATGTTTGGGGAGCAGGTTGGGTCAAGTGCTTGCCTTGTGGTAGAAGAATGCAATATTTGCAGAAGGCCGCTGTCACACGAGAATTCCAGCAGTCTGTTTTTGACCTATGATTACATGGATCAAAAACAGACTGCAAGTATCCCTGTGGGTGGCTGGATTTAAGTATGTGCAACTGTCTATATTGGACCACATTCAATTCAGGTTCATTAGACTGAATGCAGTAAGTTCATGTCCAAGTCCACATTTACTGACCTGACTGGATGAGGCCAGATTTGGGCAGATGCAAAAGTTCCCTAAAGGTTACATAGTCAACAAGACAACCACATTTTGGGGTGCTCAGGTCCCTTTTTTCTTTATGACCGACATGAACCATTTATGTTTGCCTGGTTTGCTGAACATTTCTGTGGCATCACCATTGGTTAAGCATCCAGATACTTTGTCCAGGTGGCATTGGTGCAGAGTGCATTTGTTAGAATAGGGTTTTATTGATGTCTTAGGCCTCATTGGGTAGATTTTCCACTCACTCCTAATTTCGGGGACAACATTATCACTAGGACAGGAAGTGAGGAGAAATTCTGGCAGAGCCCTGAAGAGCAATACGATTGAAATACACTCTTGAAGAGCTCTACATTGAGGTTCAAAATCACTAGAAAGCCTTGTGAGGGATTCACTCAAATGTAGTGCTTTTCATCAACTCCAGTCCAGCCAGGGAATTACATTTTCAGGGCTATTGGCCCACATTTCTTAAAAAACTCACGGTTACCTCGCAGGGGTTTTCAGCATCATCAAGACATAACATAACATTTTCATCCTCCTCGCTATTGCAGCTCTACCCACCTTGCACTGCACAGGTTCCTTCTGAACCTCCTGACTGAGGTGCAGCTGTGCATACTAACCTAACCAATACACGTCTACCTTCAGCTTGTTCAATTAAGCTATCAGACCACAGCCTAGTCAGATCTGGCCACTTCTCTTGAGGCCAGGGTAGACATTTCTTTCCTAGTGTCTCTCCACCCATACACTGCTACAGCTGTGTACTTGTCAGTAGAGCAGTAGTCACTAAATGGTGGACCACAGTCCGCGAACCACCCCAGCAGCACTGCTGCCTGGACCACAAGCCCGCAATGACAGATCCGCCACTGAGCAGGGCGGTTGTCACGGCAACATGACCTCATGTGCGCCACGCCCCCTTTCAGCTCACTGTCTCTCCGGCTCCCGCTCCCTGCCTGTAAACAAGCTTCCAGCAAGGATCCCAGCACAGCTCCTGTCTGCCCTCAAGATAGGGTGTAGTCTTACAGGGGCACTCTGATGGGCACGTTGAATGTTAAGGGGCACTCCTAACATTAACATAACAAGCTCCTTAACATAACATGTGCCCATCAGAGTGCCCCTTTAACATAAAATGTCCCCATCAGCGTGCCCCTTAATATAAATGTGCTCATCAGAGTGCCCCCTAACATAAAATGTGCCCTTCAGCATGCCCCTTATTTTATGTTAAGGGGCACTCTGATGGGCACATTCATATTAAAGAGCACTCTGATGGGCACATTCATATTAAGGGGCACTCTGATGGGCACATTCATATTAAGGAGCACTCTGATGGGCACATTCATATTAAGGGGCACTCTGACGGGCACATTTATATTAAGGGGCACTGATGGGCACATTCATATTAAGGGGCACTCTGATGAGCACATTTATATTAAGGGGCACTCTGATGAGCATTTTTTATGTCAAGGGGCACTCTGACAGGCACATTTTATGTTCAGGGGGCACAAATGGGCACATACTGTGGAAAGGGGCACTCTGATGGGCACATGTGATGGAAAGGGGCACTCTGATGGGGAAATATGATAGAAATGGGTGCTTTGAGTGGAAGGGGGCACTCTGATGGGGATACCTGATGCAAAGGTGCACTCTGATGGGCACCCTTGATGTGATGGGAATATATGATGTAAAGTTGCACTCTGATGGCGACATCTAATGTAAAGGGGCACACTGATGGGCACACCTTATTCAGACCTCAGTCAGAAAAAAATTTTTTAGTGACCTAACTTCCGTGAAGCACTGTATGACAGACATGCCCCTTTGGTTAAAAAGGCTATGCACACTTACACCATCAGGCTGCTGGTCTCCAGTAAAATGTGGACACAGGGTTAGAGTCTTCATCCCTCCCAAGGCTCTTCATAGCCTCTGAATTCCAGAACTCAATCCAGGTGTTACCAGTTTTGGAGAACACTACTAAAACAGTTTTTCTCCACTCAGAATAGCTATCTTGGAGCGCTTCACCTGAGAACCCTGTGTGACGTATACCTCTTCTGACACCATGACAAGGCATAGCACTGTCACAGATTATATTACGAGGGGCATTCAAGTTACACCGTGACTTCTGATTTTACAGGGATGCTAGTATGGCAGTACTACATGCAGTAATAAGTGCCAAGTGTGTCTTACTGATAGGCGGCACACATGTCAGGAGCCAGTCCAGAGCCTGTTAATCAAGATGGCAGACAACAGTGTTAGTGTGTGTATGGAACAGCGGGTGCTGATGAAGATTCTTGAACGAAGGTGTAAAACTCACTGATATCTACAAAGTCTTTAAGCACAGTGTGTTGATGAGATGCTTAACCACAGTAAGACGTTTGAATGGTGTAAATGTTCCAAAGATGGCCATACGTCCGTCAGTGATGATCCCGGCTGTGGCGGTTCCCAGCCCATGGCAGTCATTCCTGTGAGCATTCAGTGCGTGGAATGCCTGATCCTGGATAATCGACACACAACCTGTCGTAAAATTGCACAAGAGACAATTATTTCTGTGGAAACGGTGAACACCGTGATAGCGAAATGAAGCAGGCTCTCCTAGGATGGTTCAGGTGTACTGACAAATCTTTCTGTGCTGAAGCTTTCCAGGCATTGAACGCTGGGATAAGGGTATACATGTAGCAGGGGAATATGTCAAATAAATGCTGTTTCCAGTCCTTGAAATTTATTATTTTATTATTTAAACTCAAAAGTCCCTGTTTGACTTGAACCCCCCTCATAAATTAGTCTCCTTTCCTATCATTAATTCCCTTTTTTGCTCAATAACAAACTGATTTAACGATCAGGTCTTGTGGAAATGTGTTATGAACAGCATGTGAGGAAGGTAAATGTACTTATGTTGGATTAGGTTGCATGAAATTCTGTTTTTAGTGTACTACTGCAGTTACAGTTTGACTGAGGATTTCTTTGAACATTGTGTATATTAGGTGTTAGAGGTGAGTGGATTAAAGAAAATCTGTCCCTAAGCAAAACACCTGGGTGGGTGGTTAGGCTTTTGAGCAACTGTTCTCTGATTCATGTACCATATACTAGAAATTAGTGTAAACTTTTTTTTTTTTTCCTTTTTATTTATAAGTGCGACTTTAGGAATGCTTTTATTTTTCTCCTTTCATCCTGTGACACATTTTACTGTGTGGGTACCTAAATTCTTAAATAATGAAATTATTATTATTATACAGGATTTATATAGCGCCAACAGTTTGCGCAGTGCTTTACAAAATGAAGGTAGACATTACAGTTACAATACAATTTGGTACAAGAGGAAACAGAGGACCCTGCTCGTTAGAGCTTACAATCTAGGAGGAAGGTTGAGTGATACAAAAGGTAATAGCTGTGGGGGATGAGCTGATGGAGGAAATAAGTGGTGGTTTACTAGGTAGAAGCAGGATAGACTTCTTTACAGAGAGAGGTTTTCAGGGATTGTCTAAAGGTGGATAGTTTAGGAGACAGCTGGTCAGATTGGGGTAGGGAGTTCCATAGGATGGGAGAAGCTCAGGAGTGTGAACATTTTGGATGATGAAATGTTGGTGATGAAAGCCCTGCAACTCATTTACCAGGTATGCACAACAGGCATAATCCACTGCAAGACCATTTCATTCTTCCTAATAAATTGTATTCCTTTTATATTAAATTATAGCTAATCTAGCAGAAGCATTGAGGCTCCATGGCAGAGGTAGAAACTGTGATATGGGATGATGGTAAGATATTGTAGTGGCTCCAAGAGATATATGGCCCCGTGCACACCTGGCGTTTTCCCAGCTCTTCTGAATGCCTTTCTCCTGGCAAGAGAAAAGCCGTGTGTAAAAACGCATTTAAATGCATTCAGGCATGTTAAGTGTTTTGACATTCATTCATTTCATTGGTCAGAATATTAATTTAATCTGGCCATTGAAATGAATGAATACTCAAGATCTAAACATACCCAGCATTTAGGCATGTTTACACATGCTTTTTCCTGCCCAAAAGCTCCTCTCCTGAATGCGCAAGTGATGCTTATTTTTGCCTGTAAATGCGTATGTGTGCATGGACACATAGGCTAACATAGTGGGGCGTTTAGAGGCTGAAAAAAAGCCAAACCTCCCTAAAAAGTGGTGTATTTTGATGCCCAGTGTGTAAATTATTCAGGCCGGTGCAATTTTCACTCAACATAAATCTTTTATCTGTGGTATAATCAATAAATATTAGTATTTCTAGTAATACTATATGAAACTATAAATGGGTAGACTTACTCAACCATCGTTTCTTATGTAACCAAGCTTCAGGCAACCAAACAAAAAAGCCCATGGCAGTTGTTTGATACACAGCACACTAAATGTCATCCAGTTGAGTTTTAGGTGTGCTCCGAGGCCAATTTCTTCTTATCAGAATTTACAAACACAGAGATATGTTAAAAAGACATTGATGTATTGTGGTGTTCCAAAGATATGAAATGTTAATATTCCCATCAGTTTGAAAAGGAATATTTAATAGGGTCTAGCAATTTACTGAATAAAGAGAGAGGTATTTGTTCTGTTTGACCTTGGAACTCAAGGAGTTATTTTTTTAGTGATTTCACATGAATGAGTTGCAGACCATCAAAATAAAAAGCATGTGTAAAGTGGATACTGTTACATTTAATGGCTGGAATGAAAACAAGGATGTTGCATTTCTTTTGAAAATTTCAGTATTGGAGATGTCATTGGAACAAAATGCTGCTAAACATTAGAAGTCACGCTAATTACGGTCTTCTTTTGCATGTCTGTCTTACCAGAATAAGACTTGAGAGTAACTTTTTCCTTTTTTCGTTGTGCTCTGATGTATACAAGAATTTCAAACCTGACAGCGCATCATATATTTTAAAAATGCACTGTTTACACTTCTCCAAAAGTGAGGAGCACAGATCAAAATTGTATCCCCAGGGGACAGAAAAAAACACACTTCATGTACACAAAGCATCCATTAAGTTTTAAATGCAATACCTTTGAAATAAATACACACTTTTTTTTTTTCATTTTAAAGCATTATATATTTAAAGATCAACTTCACCCGCTCTCATGTGTTCATAATTTTTTTTTAATAAAATTTTTTCTTACCTTTTTTAGTGGAGTTATTCACAATATGCATTTTCACATCTCCAGCGAATCCAGAGTTGTCCTGGTGTAATTTGCTGCACACCAGGTCCTGTGCCGTCACCTTTTTCTTCCTTACAGCAGTAGCCTCAGTATGGAAGTTGGTGCCTCCTGGGATGCCTGATGGGCATTTACCAGGAGGCTTCAGGAGCAAAGACACATCATTCTTGCTTAGGTGAGCATGGAGTTAGGCAGGCTGGAGTATGAATGAAATTTAAAAAAAAGAAGAAAAATGTAAAAAAGTAGTCATTGCATACAATACACATACTCTTTAATGTAGGACATGGTTTGCTAACTTTTTTTTTTTATAAGGACAGTTCTTCACTGGATTGCCCAGCCCAACATGTCTGCATGTACCTGTCACGGGCGCAAGATCGCCGCCACCAACCTGCGACAATCTCACAACCGCTGCCACCAATATGTCACGATCGCGGCGTCAGACCCCAGACCTTCTCACCAAACTCGTGACCAAAGGACCGGCCGATCCAGACCGCGATGTGACGTGCGTAACAATGCCACACCCAGCTGCACCCTACACAGCGATTTTCCAGCTAATGGATTTCAATCTGTGCCTGCAGCCTGGATGCGCTTGTTACTGGGTCAAGTTAATTACGCAACTGACCCTTACAAAGGCACCACCCCTTTTTGTACAGAGGAAGGGGAAACTCTCTTTATCAAATATACACTGTAATGGTTGAAAAGTCGTCTGTCCAATACGGTCACCTCAGGCCGATTGGGCAGAGGATTAAACAAACACAGCAGCGTCTCTTTGAGGCAGGAATTCGTAAATTTCAATTAAGCGCTTTAGAAACAGTTTAACACTTTCAGAAAGAAAGATTTATTACTAAAAGAGTCAAACAGGTGCAATAAAATATTTACAGAAAAAGATGTAACTAAGATATATATATATATATATATATATACATACAAAGAACCATAGCACAGCATAGAGATATCAGAGAGGAAGTTAAAGGGTTAAGTTACTTGCCACTTAAGCCTTAGCCGTAAGTAGATCCAAGTTTCAGAGCAAAGGGTCTCCCCAGGTGGTATATTGATGTTACAATTGGGAGATGTCTTCAACTTGCTTTTTAGGCCTGCTAGCCTGTGTTTTAAAGTCCCACAGCAGGGGGTGGCTCTGAGTAACTGACCAATACTCTGTTTAGGGAGGGATCGTTGGGGGACTCTGAATTAGAACCAACATCTTCCTAATCCATGATATGAAACATAGGGGACAAACTGACATGAGGAATGCTCATTTAATTCTGTCACCTAAACTGCTAGGTCTTATGAGGTTACAATCTCCTCAACTCCTGGGAAAAGCTGCCTTATCTCGGTTACGAAGTGAGAAATTACACATGTCCTTGGGCAGCTAGTCTCTGTCTCTCCTGGGGGGCTTTGTAGCTCTGGGCCCCCCTGCTGCTCTACCTGCCAGTGACACTTCAAAACACACACACATCTGTCACTGTGCCTCTCAGGAAGGGAGGGGGAAGGAGAATGAGAAATGAGAGACACAATATATACTCCGTACCAAGATGGAGGTGCCTACAAAATGGCTGAACTGCGTACTTCACTGTGTTTTGC